GTTTGTTGAGAGTTTATTTGATGCAATTCGTGAGGAAAAGGAAGAGAATAGGTAATGAGATGAGATATTGAGCATTTACACTTAAAAAAAACGGTTGGGATGCATTTAGAGCTCAAAATCAGTTGTTCATGGTGGTTGACAAAATTGAAGAAGATGGCATTTTCGTAAATATCTTGAGATCTTTTGGTTTTTGTGTATTTTCAAATATTTCCGAAATTAAAAAAAAAAAATCAGAATATAATGGTATTTTCGTGAATAAGTGGTGAGGAGAAGGATAAAGAAGGGAAAAAGTGGCAAAATAAGAGAAGGGATATAGGGGTATAGGTTTGACATTGACCACAAATTGTGGGTTATTTGTGCAACTATCCCTATTTTTTTCGTGTAACTGATTCATAAATCGACAACTGTGAAAGATTGGATAGTCAAAATTTTCGTAGGTTTTCGTAAGTTAAAAGATTACTTCAATTATAGGTTAGATCATTTGTATAAATTTTTTTATTTTTTACAAAATAACACATTGCGTGACCACACACATAGCAAAATTGTGACGAACCTCATGAACAAAGACGTGAATAAGGTGTCCAAAATCTCTTCTTTCTTTTTTTCAACTTCATCAAAAATGAATCTAGTCTTTCTTTGTCTTGAAGTTATTTTCCGACACGAAGATCGATATAATTTTATTATCATGGTGCATTGGTAATAGATGTATGACCTTATTTTAGAACAACCGTCCAATGGTCGTGCATGTGGTGGACCCAATCAATTCTTTAGATCTGCGCCGCTCTATTAATAATTACAACGACACTAGTAATTGATTAAATAATTTCTACAAATGTGTATAATTCTAATCTCTTTATTTATATGACAATTTTTTTTTTTTTTACTTTAGCTTTATATATCTATAAAAATTAAAGAGAACAAAGGCATATTATTATCGATCATAAACATTCCAAATGTTCGGTTCATATCATTTTATCGATTACTATATTTTAAAGGTGGAGAATCTTATTTATCATGAAGATTAAAAGCATTGTAGTGAATTTTTATTTTATGCCATCGTTTAGCAATATATCCTTTATCGATTTCTATATTTTAAAGGTGGAGAATCTTATTATTACGAAGTTTTAAAGCATTTTAGTGAGTTTTTATTTAATTCCATCGTGTAGTAATTAACTAATTACATTTAGATTTTGTCATGTTTTGAACTTTTCAAAACATAGATTTTCTTCTTAACTTGTTCCTTAAATAAAGTTCAAAATATTATTTATTTTTATGTAATTGGAAAAACGTGTTATATAATTCATCAATAGACACCAATTACACAGTCAGCGATCATATCTATCATGAAATAATTGTCAAACAATACATTCACGTCCACGTTACTACATGATTATCATTTTTCTTTTGTCAAAAGTTTTATTCAAAAGCCATATGATCGTGACAAAAAAAAAGCCATATGATTATGTTATTTTTTTTTCCTAAATATATTCCAGTAAAAATCTTTAAAAATTTTGGAAAAGAAAAATTTACCAAATTACCTTTTCATCGGTTTTCATTTGTTCGAGGTAAATGTGGTAGGCAAAATATTATTTATCAAAAAATGATATAGACACGTCATCATTTACGTTTCTATAAATACCACTTCTTAACGTTTCTCTTTCCCCAACTAACTTACTCTTTGAGAGAGTCGTGAGTCTCGAGGCTTCATTATTTTTCTTCAAATATTTTTTGTTTTTTTTTTCCGATCAAGAAACAATGACCGTTGGTGCCGGAATCACCGTCAACGACTCCGATTTAGTTGTATTAGGTCACCGTGTTCTTCACAATGTACCGGAAAATGTTCTAGTAACTCCGGCTTCAGGTAACGCCTTGATCGACGGTGCATTCCTCGGCGTTTCATCGGACCAAACCGGAAGCCACCGTGTCTTTCCCTTAGGGAAACTCGAGTACTGTTCTTCTCCTCCTTGACTCTCATATTTATTGTGAAAATGTTTGCATTTTGGTTTTGAATGATACATTTTTGGGAATTTGATTCAAGAAACGATTAGGGTTTTGAGTAAATTAAACTTTGATATTGAAATAAATTTTGTTTGGTGTTTATAATTTGTTTTTTTGTTGGCAGAGATTTGAGGTTTATGTGTGTGTTTCGATTTAAATTATGGTGGATGACTCAAAGAATGGGAACCAATGGGAAAGAGATTCCATGTGAGACTCAATTTCTAATAGTAGAAGCAAACAAAGGAACTGATTTAGGAGGAGGTGATCAAATTTTCTCGTACGTTGTGTTCTTGCCTATACTTGAAGGAGATTTTAGAGCTGTTTTGCAAGGGAATGAAGTAAATGAGCTTGAGATTTGTCTTGAAAGTGGTAAGTAAAATTCACTAAGTTCATTAGATTTCTCTGGTTTCTTAGTTGAAATTTGTTAGATTTATATGGTTTCTTGGTCAGGTGATCCAACCGTTGATCGATTCGAGGGAAATCATTTGGTTTTTGTGGCTGCTGGATCTGACCCTTTTGATGTCATTACCAAAGCTGTCAGGTATGTAACGTTTCTTAACTCTTAAAGTCTTGACTTTTCGTTATATCGAAAAAATTTAGTGTTATGAATCTTTGATCTTCAAATGATTATTTATGCAGGGCGGTTGAACAACATCTTCAAACATTTTCACATCGTGAGAGGAAGAAAGTAAGCAAACTTGTCTACTTTATTTATCTTTCGATTCGATATTTACCAAAACTTAACTGTGAAAAATTTCCTCTGTTTTATGGTGTTTAAGATGCCAGATATGTTGAACTGGTTTGGTTGGTGTACATGGGATGCTTTCTACACTAATGTCACAGCTAGTGACGTCAAGCAAGGTCTTGAGAGGTACTTATAAATCTCTTTACTTCGCTCAAAATTATATTTCCATACTTTTTAGATGGCTCTAAAATGTAACAATTCTATGTAGCCTTGAAGCCGGTGGGATTACCCCGAAATTCGTTATAATCGATGATGGATGGCAATCTGTTGCTATGGATGAGACTGGTGTTGAATTTAGCGCTGATAATGCAGCCAAGTAAGCTCTCTTTTTATGAATGTGTGACTCTTTCATGCATTGACTACACAAGTATTATAGTTTGTCATGGTCCGACCTTTCATTTGGCTAATAACCGCTCTTTTGCTTCTTAAGTTTCGCCAACAGATTAACACATATCAAGGAGAACCACAAGTTTCAAAAGAATGGCAAAAAGGGTCATCGAGTGGACGACCCTGCAATGAGTCTAAGACATGTTATCACAGACATTAAGAGTAACAATTCACTCAAGTATGTTTATGTTTGGCACGCGATAACGGGATACTGGGGAGGAGTCAAACCGGGTGTTTCGGGTATGGAGCATTACGAATCAAAGGTTTCGTATCCAATTTCTTCGCCAGGAGTTATGTCCAATGAAAATTGTGAATGTCTAGAAAGCATAACTAAGAATGGACTTGGTTTAGTGAATCCTGAGAAAGTCTTTAGCTTCTATAATGACCTTCACTCGTACCTTGCATCGGTTGGGATCGATGGTGTCAAAGTGGATGTCCAAAACATTCTTGAAACTCTTGGAGCTGGACATGGCGGTCGAGTCAAACTTGCAAAGAAGTATCACCATGCTTTGGAAGCTTCAATTTCAAGAAACTTCCCTGATAATGGTATTATCTCTTGCATGAGTCATAACACAGATGGTCTCTACAGGTGAAAATCTAGACTCCAGTGAAGTTATTCTTCCTTGAAATCGTTTCGTTTTGTTCTGATTTCTTCTTTTATATATCGATATTCAGCGCTAAAAAGACGGCTGTTATAAGAGCATCAGATGATTTCTGGCCTAGAGATCCCGCGTCGCACACGATCCACATTGCTTCAGTTACATATAATACACTTTTCCTTGGCGAGTTTATGCAGCCAGATTGGGATATGTTTCATGTACGTTAAATTAGAAACAACATTTTAAAACGTTTTTGAACTTTTGAGTGAATCTGTTTGTGTCTCAATGCAGAGTTTGCATCCGATGGCTGAATATCACGCAGCAGCTCGAGCGGTTGGTGGATGTGCCATTTATGTCAGGTAATCATAAAGATTCAAGAACATTTACAAAAACAACATTTCACTAGTAAAATGAGCTGCAAGTTAACTCTAGATATTCAAACTTTGTTAAACAGCGACAAACCGGGACAACATGACTTTAACCTCTTAAGAAAATTAGTACTTCGAGATGGTTCCATACTCAGAGCAAAGCTTCCCGGAAGACCAACCCGTGATTGCTTATTCAGCGATCCGGTCAGAGACAATAAAAGGTACTATAATTTCACATTTTTTGTCCTTGGAAAGAGGAGAGAAAGCTTCAATACTAAACTTTTGTTTATAATTTTGCAAGTCTTATGAAAATATGGAACTTGAACGAATTCACCGGAGTTATTGGAGTCTTTAACTGCCAAGGCGCCGGATGGTGTAAGAACGAGAAGAAATACTTAATCCATGACCAACAACCTCGGACCATTTCTGGTTATGTTCGAACAAATGATGTTCACTACCTTCATAAAGTCACAAACTTTGAATGGACAGGCGATTCAATTGTCTATTCTCATCTCAAAGGTACACAAACTCAACATTTATAAGTCTAAAATTTTCCCTTTTTTTTTTTTGTAGTCAAAAGTTTCACATTGTCTAATGTGTAATTTTGTGTTACTAGGAGAGTTAGTGTATCTACCTAAAGATACAACTTTACCAATCACATTGAAATCGCGCGAATACGAAGTTTTCACGGTGGTTCCGGTGAAGGAATTTTCCGATGGAAGTAAGTTTGCTCCGGTAGGGCTTATGGAGATGTTTAATTCAGGAGGAGCCATTGTGAGTTTAACATATCATGAAAATGGGACTCACTTTGTCATTAAGATGAAACTTAAAGGTAGTGGTTTGTTTGCGTTTTACTCGTCTATTCGACGACCACGGAATGTTACGGTGGATTCTAAAGATGTAGAGTACCGGTATAAACCGGAATCCGGTTTGGTTACATTTACATTAGGAGTCCCGGAGAAAGAATTGTATCTTTGGGACGTTGTCATTGAACTTTGAGTTTTCGAAGATAGCTCTTATTGTATTGGTTATTTATCGATTCATATAATGATTAGTCCTTATAATTCAATATTGGTTAATGTTAAATCTGTATTGGTTTATCTATCGTACCAAAATAAATCAAATGGGTTGGGCCGTGTTGGGCTAAGAGGAAATTGTAATTGGAATTCAGTATTTAAAAAAATATAACAGAAAAAATACGAGATTTTATGTTCATAATAATCGAATCAATAAAATATATCGAGATAAAGTGATGCGATCGATAATTATCTATTCTCTTAAGGTAACACGTCATGTTTAGGGGTCCACTTCCTTTTTTAACTTATAAACTAAAACAAAGTTAAATCCCGAGAAAATTAACAAAACTATCATTTATTTAAAAATAAAAATTTTAATTGATCACAATCTCAAAATCCTTTAAAAATATATCACATTTTTCTTTCTTCTCAACACCAAAAAACATTTTTACTTTTATGTATATATATTTTTTTCCACTCATAGCATTTCTCTTTATGTATATA